TATTCACACCATTTATAAGTTGTAAATCACTCGGGGGAACATGTCGCTCACATTACATTAACCAATTACATTACCTACAAGCTGCTCATGTGTGTGCTTTGTGAAACATTTTTATTATAATACTATTATTATTTATTTAGAAACCTAAAAGGATCTCTATTTTTACATTTCAGTTACTTTTATAACTATACATAAAGAATAAATATGAAAAATACAAAATAAAATACTTAACCAATCTTCTTTTTTCTTGCTGTTGGGTTTCGAAGAAAGTTAAGCTTAATTTTTTTATACTATATATAGTAATGCACTTAATAATTTTTATTTAATTAAATAATACACCAAAGAATATAAACTAATAGCATACAAAAAGTAGACAAATTCACTTACCTCTCAAAATTTTCTTGGCTTTCAAGCTAGCTATGCAACAAGAGCCGTTACAAATTCATCCAAGCTAATCATTAACTTTACCACAGGAACAATGTATGTACTCTGAATGAAATTGACATCTAACTGTTCAGAACATAACATTATACAACACGTCAGTTGATAGATGAAAACCTTGACTTTTACCTTGGTTATAGGTAATATATAATGAAACGTAAGAGAGAACTATCAACAAATCCTGAAAGAGAGAATGTGACAGGTTGGATCTGATTTTCTATTTGATAGCTCTGTAACCAAACAAAATTGAAGGGTATATAAAATTATGGTTTGTCTGAGCAATAACGATTTTATAGAGTAATTTACGTTCAATTTTGTACTTTTTCTAGGGGTGGTAGATACAATAAGGATGATGATATGCTAAAAGAAAATGTGTCACGTGGGTCACACTAGTGGAAATTCAGAATTTTTCTTAATACTGCCTTGTAGAATTAAGAACTTAAAACTTGTATACTATTAAAATATGGATTATTAGTTGAGATTTTATGCTATTCTAATTGGTATAACATAAACAAAGTAATTTTATACAATTTTAAATGTAACACATTAAAACCTTGTGTCATGCACAATAAAGGATACCAGTGGCAATAGGGTTAATATATGGAGTCAGTGTTGACTGCTCTGGTGCAGTGGTTTTCATGTTAAGATTGAAAATACTTTTCTTCATCTAAAAATTTTCAAATTTCATTTTCTTATCCTCTAAAAACCCCTAAATAAATATTGAATATTTTTTTCAGTACAACATTATATTTTATTTGTTAGTTTCTCTACCCCAATTCTATACAGACTTGGTTGATTAGACCAACAAAGATATGAAATAAACCTAAATTATGGTTTCTTCTTTCTTGAATGACTACTGATTATTGTTTTATTAATTCTGTAACCACGTCTGTCACACAAATTGTAAATTACTTGTAGCCCCATTACTCATATTGAATGATGTAATGCACTAGCTGCTCGCAATAATACCTCGTTAAGATTATTATTTTTCATTATCTTACATAATCTAACTTAATAAGTTTCTCATTTTTACATTTTAGCTACCTTTATAGCAATAAATAAACAATATACATGAAAAATAAAAACTATAGAACTTACCTTTGACCTCATTGTTTTGTTGTTGTCGACTGTTGATGAACTTTAAGTTTACTTATTTTTCTAAAATGATAGTACTAGTACACTAAATTTTTATTTATTTAAATAATACATCTATCAACATAGAATAATAACATGCACAAAGCATACAATGTCCAATAACTATTATGATTTAACTGGCTTTCTAACTAAGACAAGAGGTGCTTTAATTAATTCCCTTTGTTGCTCGACATGAAGACCATGAAATAAACATTCAAACTCAAGATGAAATTGACAAACTTTGTATTGAAACCAACGTAGCATTATATTTAAATCAATTGATTAAATGTCAGAGAGAATTACTGGCAAGTTGTGAAAGAAAGGATGTGATAGGTGGGCATGAAAAGTGGTCTGATCTTCTAGTTTACAACTCCGTAAACAAATAAGATTGAAGACTATAAAAGTTAGACTTTTCTTAGGTAGTATCTATATTATAATTAGTAATATACATTAAATTCCATACTTCCATAAGGAGTGATAAACAAATTAGATAAATGTCATGATTCTTATACTATAAGAGATTGAAGATTTTTAAAAAATTTTCTTATAAAATTAATAACCTAAAACCTGTATATTATTAAAATATGATTTATCAACTACATTTTCATGCCAAGTTATGATAATAAAGTAGTTTAATTTAATTTTTAATGTAACTCACTAAAGCCTTGTGACATGTGCAGAAAAAAAACAAGTGTGTGATGAGAGGGTTAAAACAAGTTTAACTGTCATAATATGTAAGAACTTATTTGTTTACTCCATATGCCATCCACTCTGTAACCATTTATTTCTAGCCACAACAAAGGTAAAAAATGATATCTGTTTCCTTGCAATTCTTGTAAGTAACACCCAACACTTTATATTCAATCACAGAATCTGTAAAACAGAACCACAAATGTATACTAGCCAAAGCATTTAGATGCAAGAAAATGCATTACCTGGCCATGAGTATCTCCTGAGGACTGCCCATTCAAGAAAACCAGGGCCAAGCCAAAATCTGCAACACATGCTGTCATGTCATTCTTCAAGAGGACATTTTTACTTTTGAAATCTCTGTGTGCTATAGAAGGTTTGTAGCCTTCCAGTTTAGTTAGTGGAAGTTCTTCATGTAAGTGCATGAGACCTCTTGCAATTGAGTCTGTGATGTTCAGGAGTTCCGTCCATGAAACAACATTTGCCTGAATAATAAAAAAAAAGTTTATCATTGATACAAATGTAACACCTTGTTGCATCATAGTTAACTTGCATCAAAGAAATTGCCTGAAAAAAAATACTACAAGTTTAAGTGCTTATGGTAAAGTTGTCATAATTGGTAGACTATACAATTCCTTAGTCTAATTAGTAAATAGTAACTTTTTCCTTTATTTTCACTTCTAATCTGCTGCCATCTATTTCTGTGTTGGTACTGACCATGACATAATCCTGAGTCTTCTTCATAGAAAGTCTGGTGAATTATCATCACCTCGACTGGGGTCCCCCACTTAGAACTTGAACCAACTAAACCTACTTGAATTTCTGAAGAGCGTAATCATATTCTGCTGAGTTATATGCTAGGTTTACTGAAAGTTTTAGCAGTTAATTAGATGTAGAAGATAATACAAATGAAGGAACTTAAAGACCCAATGAGGAGGAAAAACAATTTATAACATATCCTCTAAATTCCAATACATTGGAGAAGCATAAAAAAGAACAATAAAATTATAATTCAAGAACTAATTAGTAATTTGCCTTAGATGATCACATAGGCTACTAACCATGACAACAATTAAAAGATGTCTTTTTTCATACTGTCAAAACTATCAGTTTAATATTTGTAATGACACTTAACAGGAAGAAAAGGCCTTTTTTTCAAAAAAATAAAAAGTGTTATACATTATTCCAATGAGACTAATAGTTTTGTCAATATAGAAAACCTAATGGTTGTCATGGTTAATAGCCTATAAAATCATGCAAGTCTAATTATTAATTAGCTAATATTTTTAATTACTATATGCTCATTAGTGTACATTATATGCTTGGCTCCTAATCTGCCATAATATTTGTGGAAGTCCTGAAAAGGGCTTTGTATGTTAGCAAGACATTAAGACTTGAATCAACTATACGTGTGAAGTGTCCAATTTTGCTGACTTTAACTGGATATGCTATATGGATATAGAAGAATTATTTTTCTTATGTTTCATTATTTTAGTATTATTCCATTTTATTGTATGGTATTCTCTGACATGACATTGATTTATACTACAGTCTCTTATATCTATGAATTGATTAAATAATATGCACAGAAAAGTCACAACCTTCAGAAAGTCACTCAGTGATCCTCTTTCATGGTAAGTTGTAATTAACCAATATTCAAGTTGAAGACCATCTCCTCTTCTTTCTGCTGCAATAAAGGCTAAAATGTTGTCGTGCTTCATCTGTGGAAGCTGGAAAATCATCTGCTCCACCTGCCAAGAGTTCTTGTCCTGAAATCACATTAGTATATGGTTTAAACTGAGTTCTATACATAATAATGAATGTATATTTAAATAAATTGAAACATCATAACTGTCACAAAAAAAATTGGATAACCACCTGCAAGTAGTGACAAATTATAAATAAACTTACTGTTTACTTGCCCGTAGCAACACTTCTCTGTATGAATAATCTTTAAATATATCACTCAGGGCTCGAAATTAATGGGGGCCCGGGAGCCAGTGGACCCCAAAAATACTGGCAGGCCCATAACAAATGTCTGCTAGGTAGCCCACGTGGCTCCTTAAAATCAAAAGAGCTATTAATAGTTTGACTGCAATAAATTGGTCCAAGCATTTCTTAACCAATCAGAACTTATGACAAACCATGATTGGACCTTCCCAAATTTACGAACACTCATGATTCAGATAGAATCCACATACATACATGTACATCAGCATAGCTAGCACACATGACTTCAAGCTAAACATTCTTGCATGGGCATTCATAGTGATGCTGGCTAATACATCGAGATATTGCAATCTGGGGTCCATGGCTGTGATGTGCCTTGTTTAAAGGCTAGGTGGTTTAGGCTCCATGGATTGTGAAATTGACTTGTAGAAAATGTTAGTATGCTCGGCACTGAGCACCTGGGAAACATTATAAATAGTATTCGTGAATGAAAGAGGAAATACACCTGTAAAAAAAAATTTTACTGCCTATGGATGATATGCTAGAATATATTAGAAGTGTTTTATGCAGAGTAGTACTATATATAACACTTGGTATGGCCTTGTAATAATTGGATTAGTATGTTTGCCAGTCATTTTGTGTGTAAAAATCTAACATTTGCATTATGCAAGCAATTATTAAAAACATAAGTTGTACAATATATTAAATTGGTGTAAAATCCAAAGATTAGATCTATTATTTCCATTAAAAGTATTGGTCTTTCGGTGACAAAACATTCTGCTTCTTTTCAGACATTTTTTTTCCTTTTCTGAAATGATACATATATTGTTTGGTCTATGTTTTAACAGACATGTTTTGATTAGAAAAAAAAACAACTTAAACTCCAAAATAATGGAATTTCCATAAACTTTGTGCTGTGGCTGGATTCAATTTATGTTAAATGCTTGCCAGACGAATAGGCAAGATATCCAGTTATGACTGGCCAGTCATGAGGTGGTATTCTGAAAACTATTAGGAGTCTACTAGCAAAGGGTGTATTAATTGCCATGGCAACATATTTTCCATTTTGGCATGAAACACATGTACGCAAAACAATGATGAGAAGTTCGCGCAAATAGACCACTTTTCTTCTTTTTCATACTTACAGTCACATTACCTTTTTTTTCTGTTGCATTCTGTTTCAGATCATCAACATTTGGTTCTCTTCATTTAGGAAAATCTTTAATTTTGGGTTATTTTTTGTGATTTGGGCAACTTTTATGCTGTGTTCTCCACAACTTTAAATATCTTTTAGCAACACTGGCCTGTCATGCGTAGACTCTTATTTGTAAGTTTAAAGTCCATTTGCAACAACAATTATTTTGATTAGGAAAGAACATTACTTTATCGGGGAACAAAAGAACAGATTATACTGGCAGTGGTGCATAGATTTTCTTTCATTAGTTACTTTGATTATTAAAGGACACTACTTTAAAGGGAAATAAAAAAATAAATTACACTGGCAGTGATGTATATACTTTTTTTCATTATTTATTTTGATTGTTATCCCTATCAACACAGGTCACAGGTCAAAGGCCATGTCAATGTGTTTGTTGACTTGCATTCAAAATTTTATTCCCCTTCTATTTGATGAATTTATGTCAATAAGTTTGGTATTAAATTGTAGATTATAATTCAAATTTTTGTATTATACATTCAATAATTTCTTAATTTAAAAATAAATATTAAAAAACACACCTAAATATTGATTTAGGTATGTTGAATACAAAGTCTATAGTTTCTAACAAATTAGGAACTCGCACTACCGATATTGACAAGCTAGAATATAAAATAAGAACCTACTATCTTTTATATTTGCTGAGATATCGCTACATTAACTGATGCAAACACAGTGCCCATGCTCACCTATTTCCATTTTTGGAAACACTTGATTACATACAACTACTTCTGTCTTTGAAGTGTGAATAACCAATCAAAAACTTAGAATGTCCCCCTAGTGGCTTTCTCAGCCTTTTTTAAATATTTGGGCAACAAATTCTTTCTTTTTATGTTAGATTCAAAGCAGTAAGATAAGACTTTAGTGAGCTCGTAATTTCATATTTTTTTAGATGCAAATACAGCTAAATTAATAAGCTTGATTTAAATATTAGTGATTAATTTATATTTGTGAGTGAATATTTTAGTATTTTTAAGTTTTGTTATATTAAGTTAAAAGCAGATGATTGTAGAAGGTTTTGTTAATAACTAATTGGTGTCGAGAATGTTTGATAATTATTTGGAGGTTATAAAGATTTCATATGTGAAAGTTAAAAATTTTCTGATGCATAAAATTATTTTTAATCTTAAAATCAAAATTACTTTGCATGTTGGATAGTCAACATTCCAAAGGAAAAAAGGCACGAGAAACAAAATAAATTGAAATATATTAATATATTTAGCCTTCTTTCAATTAACTCTTTCGACATGGGCTCGGTCCCTGGGACCATCCTCGTTATAGTTTACATACTAATAACTTTTAATATTTTAAGCGTATCTTTACAAACTTTTGTAGACTTATAGCAAACATTAGAAGCCTTTTGCACACAAAAAGTCAGATTTTTTAATGAAGTATTTTTACTTAAGTTTGTCCATATTGATTCTTTTTTTTAACTAGTCTGAGTGCAAAGTGATTTTTATGTCAAAATTAAAAATACTTTTGGTCATCTAAAAAATCTCAAATTTCCTTTGTGTAATCCCTAAAACCTCCTAAATGCATTTCAAAC